GCGACGCTGGGAGCATGCGCGCTGGAGTTTCTCGAAGGATCAGGAATTATCGAGGAACCCCGCGAATGTCCGAGTGTTTAGTAGACGCCCTCTTTTTTAGTATATAAGCCTGGCGAGAAAAACCAGCGTGATATTGAAGAGAGAGATAAATAATTGATTCAGGGGAACAGTAGGCACAGTAAGTAAAATGTGTGAATCACTGTGATTTATAGCGTGTTATAAAGGATATTAAGTTTGAAGTGACTGTGGAAATTCTGTGTATTACAAAAAGTTGTATCGAGAAAGAATAAACTAGGTTTAATCAAGAAAGGACTTGTATCGCTGAAGTTCCTCGGAAAGAATTTATACCGGAAATTAACAAACAAACAGATACGTGACAATACTTACTGGAAGTACTAAATGTTAGAAATGAAAACACCATGAAATCTGAATTAACTCAACAGTTGAGTGTCCGCTCGTAAAGACTATAGCTTTATATAATTATAAATTTAATTCTAAACACTGAAAGCTGACGAACCATAAAAAACACATTCCTGTAAGATAAAATTAAACATCACAAAGTTTAGGCTTCAGGGGATTTGGGTGAGTACTAAATCCCATATTACATCAACAAAGAATAGTCATCATATGTGTAACATAAATTTGTAAACACTATAACTAATTTTTATTTATAATAACTAACTACCAACAAATTATTATGTTGTTGTATGTGTGTAAAAATAGAAGTTGTTATTTGTTAACATCTATACTTCAATATCAAACAGTTTATATGTATTAACCCTGAAAAAGCTGTAAGAGCGAAACGTTGCTAGTAATAAAAAACAAATATATATATATACATCTCAAGTGTAAAGGTCATATATCTCAACTGTTATCATAACATCTATACAGTTCAACAGTACACGAAACACAAATACACTTTGAAGCACCCACGTATTTACTAAGGTGTACATCCATCCTCACAAACTGATAGGTGTTACAAAACAATTAAAATTCATAAAAAAACACCTATATTTTAAGCAGTACACTAAAGGTTTTGTTTCCAGTTTGGATTACATAAACTATTCCTGGAAATTTTACAAACTAAATTGTAAGCTGTATTCTACTATTTCATTAATGTCAGTTTTATTAACAGTAGTTATTAAAGTGCTTAATATATATGTATAATATTTATTTATTTTTATTTTAAAGTTTGTACTTCATATATTTTTATCATTATGTTTTTGGTTGTCGTTGTTGTTTTTGTACTGTTATCTCAGCAATTGGATTTAGGACCAACCTAAATATCTCGTGAGATATTCGACTAAGCCTAACAGCTTTCCAACAATTAATTTTACGATTTTCTATACTCTTAGTTAGAATGTTATATGAATTTAGCTATTTTTATTACTGGTTCGCTTTGAACTCAGTACAGGATCCAATCTAAGAAAGTTAGTTACAGGAGGGGGGAAGCACCTTTGAGTCTTTGACACCAAAGTAATTTATTTAATATACGTGCACTGCTCTTGTAAGCCTAATTAGCAGGAGACAGTTCGCTCCGAAAGACAGCCCAACAATTAAATTAGGCTTGAGCTGTGTTTTATGTAGTACTGTGTTGCCGTTCTTAATTGTTGCTAATAACAATGGGATGATTGTGTCGAAATATTCGCACCCTTAACAACAAATATCACGCTGAATTTCAATAATAGATTGCATTACCCCGGGCAGAGTTTTGATAATAATAATTAATGGATCAATCTTTTCAAAGTAAAGAAAGTCTGTAGAACACGGCTTGTTAGGCCTAATAATCTGTTTACGTATGGATTTATTGTCATTAATTTTGTTCTGGAATGCTGTATTCTATAACGTGGTTTTTCTGTCTCAACTATCACTTGTCATAACAGAAAAGGAACATTTTATGTTAGTGAAAAAAATCGTGGAACACGGCAAGTATGTTCTTTTACCATGTGATGGTACTTACTTTGAGCAGAAGAAATCAGTCGATGAAATTATTAAATGTGAATGGTTAGGACCCGACAATAGGCCCGTTCAGAACGAACGCTCATCCATATCACAAGAAGGCGACTTATCTTTCAATGACGTGCAGGGGGAGGACGAAGGGATTTACGACTGTAAAATAACATATAAGGAAAAAGGTCACGAAAAGATCCAACACGTTAAGTTCCAAATTGAAGGTAATCACGTGGTTTGTCATTTTTTAATTAATTAAAAAAAAACGCTAACATTCCGATGAGGATTTGATCCTAATCGGTTTGGTTTGTGACGTCACCCGGCATAAATACTTGAAGGATTAAACATCATTTAATAAATTTTTAAACTTTCAATGAATGGCAGATGCTTCTTT